GATAAATTAATTTTGGTTCCCTCTTCTTTTATTTGCGGCCAAGTAGAAGTCTGTTCTGTATAAATATTTGAAGGATTTCTGTATAGGGAAAGCTTTACTAACAATATTGTTATCCGTTGTTCACACAGATGTCACGATATGCCGCATTTTGTAATTAAAAACAACATGTTCAACTTTAGACTGTACTATTGACTACTGGAGTAACAACTGGCATTTTGAGTTTTATTTTTTACCGATAATAAACACAAACGATAAGCTACTGATAAGTAACTGCATCTACAAATACTAAGAAAATCCATCATGACCCTTGAAAAGTAATAAAAAACGTATCTTGGTAGGTGTAATTTCCATTAAAATCATATTTATCGTGTTTTATCTCTTTAAAATCGACAAAGTTTTAAATGAATAAAGCTACTTTAAGTTGTTAAGTAAAACGAAATCATCCCAACACGTGGGTATTCGTAAGAAACTTCCAATTCGTTTATCATTTTTCATGTTAAAGGTCTTCCCAAAAAAAAAGTCTCAGAGTTATTCGTAAATAAGGTTGGCTAAAACCTGGAAATATGGTGGAAAAAACTTTTGAAGATACATTTTGATGAATTAAAAGAGCACCAGAAGGTATTTTAAAAAATCAAAAAAACTATTTTCATCTAAAAAGTTTGTTAACCGTAAGAAAGTACTCAAGAACTACTTGCAAGATTTTTTCAGATTTTTAAAAACGGCACATTGCAGACAACTTTAAAAACTAATACTTTGGAATCTCAAAACACTGAATCAAAAAGCGAGATCCCTTAGCGTATGAAACTCTTCTTCGTGAAAAATTTCATTCAGACTGATTTACAAAAAATATGAGGGTGTAGGGAACAAGGGAACTATAAAGGTTCCTGTTTTGCTAAGGAATCCTAGAAAGCGAGAAAGACTGAATCGGAATAATGATATGCAAGAATATAACGACTGACAGAGACCGTTTCTATTGTATCTACTCATCAAAATTATTAGGGTAGTATGTATGGTAGTACACCAGGGTCGTACAGCCAGCTATTTTTCGCTTGGGCCAAGCGTGAGTCGCATCGTTAAAGATTTTAAAATACATATAACTCAAATCGCAACAATATAGAAATGAGAAGGTAAAACCACACGTACATAATCTCACATAATTCAAAAGTTCCATTGAGTTCCGTGGTAACATCACTACATTACTCACTTAGATATTTGGAGGAAAGTAAATAATTTCCCAGACTTCATACTAATTTCTTCCTCTGGTGCATATTCTTTCTTTCACCATCCTTCAGGCAGAAAGTAAAAAAGCGAAAAAGCTCTCGATTTGGACGTAAAAAATAGATATTTTTGCATTATTCAATAAAAATGCACCACAGTTATGGTTAGAATACTTGAAGTACGGACCCTACCTAAGTCTACCCGTAGATTTGTCACCACCCTTCTGCTAGAATGTGAAAAAATCGAAAAAGCTCTCGATTTTGACGTAATAGATAGATATTTTTGCATTATTCAATAAAAATGACCCACAGTTATGGTCGGAATAATCGAAGTACAGATCCACCTAAGTCTATCTGTAGATTTTTCACCACCCTTCTGCCAGAAAGTGAAAAAATCGAAAAAGCTCTCGATTTGAACATAAAAGATAGATATTTTTGCATAATGTAATAAAAATGCCCCACAGTTATGATCAGAATATTCAAAGTACGGACCAACCCAAGTCTACCCGTAGATTTTTCACCACCCTTCTGTCAGAAAGTGAAAAAATCGAAAAAGCTCTCGATTTGAACATAAAAGATAGATATTTTTGCATAATGTAATAAAAATGCCCCACAGTTATGATCAGAATATTCAAAGTACGGACCAACCCAAGTCTACCCGTAGATTTTTCACCACCCTTCTGTCAGAAAGTGAAAAAATCGAAAAAGCTCTCGATTTGAACATAAAAGATAGATATTTTTGCATAATGTAATAAAAATGCCCCACAGTTATGATCAGAATATTCAAAGTACGGACCAACCCAAGTCTACCCGTAGATTTTTCACCACCCTTCTGTCAGAAAGTGAAAAAATCGAAAAAGCTCTCGATTTGAACATAAAAGATAGATATTTTTGCATAATGTAATAAAAATGCCCCACAGTTATGATCAGAATATTCAAAGTACGGACCAACCCAAGTCTACCCGTAGATTTTTCACCACCCTTCTGTCAGAAAGTGAAAAAATCGAAAAAGCTCTCGATTTGAACATAAAAGATAGATATTTTTGCATAATGTAATAAAAATGCCCCACAGTTATGATCAGAATATTCAAAGTACGGACCAACCCAAGTCTACCCGTAGATTTTTCACCACCCTTCTGTCAGAAAGTGAAAAAATCGAAAAAGCTCTCGATTTGAACATAAAAGATAGATATTTTTGCATAATGTAATAAAAATGCCCCACAGTTATGATCAGAATATTCAAAGTACGGACCAACCCAAGTCTACCCGTAGATTTTTCACCACCCTTCTGTCAGAAAGTGAAAAAATCGAAAAAGCTCTCGATTTGAACATAAAAGATAGATATTTTTGCATAATGTAATAAAAATGCCCCACAGTTATGATCAGAATATTCAAAGTACGGACCAACCCAAGTCTACCCGTAGATTTTTCACCACCCTTCTGTCAGAAAGTGAAAAAATCGAAAAAGCTCTCGATTTGAACATAAAAGATAGATATTTTTGCATAATGTAATAAAAATGCCCCACAGTTATGATCAGAATATTCAAAGTACGGACCAACCCAAGTCTACCCGTAGATTTTTCACCACCCTTCTGTCAGAAAGTGAAAAAATCGAAAAAGCTCTCGATTTGAACATAAAAGATAGATATTTTTGCATAATGTAATAAAAATGCCCCACAGTTATGATCAGAATATTCAAAGTACGGACCAACCCAAGTCTACCCGTAGATTTTTCACCACCCTTCTGTCAGAAAGTGAAAAAATCGAAAAAGCTCTCGATTTGAACATAAAAGATAGATATTTTTGCATAATGTAATAAAAATGCCCCACAGTTATGATCAGAATATTCAAAGTACGGACCAACCCAAGTCTACCCGTAGATTTTTCACCACCCTTCTGTCAGAAAGTGAAAAAATCGAAAAAGCTCTTGATTTGATTGTAATAAGTTGATATTTTTGCATCATTAAAGAAAAATGCCACACTCAAGTTTACCCGTAGATTATTCACCACCGTTCGGTTAGAAAGTGAAAAAGTCGGAAAAGCTCTCGATTTGAACGCAATAGGTAGATAATTTTACATCATTAAACAAAAATGCCGCATAGTTAAGGCTGAAACAACCAAAGCATGGACCCACCCAAGTCTATCCGTAGCTATGTCCTTCCTATCTTGAGCCAAGCTTCGCATTTCTTCAAAACTGTAACATCCCTTATTATTTGCCAACAGTAATCTTAATGTAGGTTTTTTTCTGTCCCTATTTAATCCTATTTCTACTTCTAGCATGCTTCTACGATAAAATTAGCCCGTCATATGTCTGTAAGTGTCCCAACGCACTCTTTATATATTGAGTTCTATAGCTCCCTTTGTTCTAATCGTTTCCCTTTTTTATCCTTAGTATTTTCACACCCTCTACAACAACACATTTTTTATTTAAATTACAATCCGATTGAAATTTTAATAAGTGCTATGTTGTAAGTAAATGTACCTAAATAATATTACTTAAAAAATATGATTTATGTACATTTCGTTGTTCTTTTTGCAAGTGTCTTAACTTAATAGCATTTCACCCCCTAATTGCATTATGAGTAATTAATGAGGGTACTTATACCACTTACAATACACCCATTAACTCATCAGCAGATGAGTAATGACTGGGTTAAAATAAAGACATCGGCTAGTCAGTCAATTATAAGTTGTAAAGCAACGCTAACATAATTTGCAATTAACATCTTCTGCCATTACATTTGTGTTTTATTGGTTTTAACTCGTTTTATTTATTCTCTGTGCATGTTCAAAGAAAATAGTACTAAACATTCACCGACAACACAAACGATCGCCGAAACCGTATGTCGTAAATGAATTCTTTTTTGCGTATGTTTGGAGTACCGCCTTGGTAATTGCTTAAACCTATAAGAAATTGCGTTAAAATATAAATAAATCGTTACGCAGAAAACCTGTCAGTAGAAGCACAAGTATTTGATAAAAACCACTCAAAGGCATGTGGTTTTCAACATGAAAAAGTTTAAAGGACTTTCAGGAAAACTGCAAGGATCTTCCTGGGGTTCAGCTTTTAGTTTAATTTCGTTCATTTGCATACACTACATACTATCGGCGAACTTAAACTTTCGAAAAATTACCTCAAATGCTTTACTTTCTTTAAAAGTTTCTTCAGTTTCCGATTTCTTTAAAGTTTAAGAAATCCCAAAATGTAAATGGAATGAACAAAACAAACTGACATTTTTTAACGATTATCTTGATTGTGTTCGATAATATTATTTCGACCCACATAATAAGGTCATTTTCAAGAGTTTACTATATATTGATGAAATTAATATTGACAAGTGTTCTAAAAAGCTTGAAGTGATAAATTAATAAGTTTTGAATTGTCCCTGAAAGCTGAGAGATATCGTCCGTTGTAAGCTGGAGCTTCCAGATTTTCTTTAGAACCACTAATTTAGCAAAAATACCTCAATTTTATATTATCAAAATTTTACATTTTCAGTATTTTTTTTATCACAAATTAATGTATCCAATCTAAAAATTGCAGTGTTTCCACACTAATAGTATTTTACGGCGATTTCAAAATAAAAATTGACCTGTTTCATGATTTTCCATGAAAGTTTTTCATTACACATTTTTGAAATAAATTTTTGTGATGCATATGGCCAGAGCGTGTATTATAAAAGAAAATCTTTGAATAAATTGACATGCCACGTTCAGTATAACAGCTAGAACTGTAAGATGTAACAAAAACAGAATTACGTTGAAAAATTCTTAGGCTTTTATTTACATAAAATCAAAATTTACAAAAATTTTCAAACCCTGTTATATGAAATATCGCATATTATGAGGCATGGTTAAGGCACACAGATATTTCTAATCTAACGTATAAAGAAAGGTTTGATCTCTTATTAGAAATAGTTATATTCTAACATGGACATCGAACTTTTGTTTTTACAGAAAATTAATAATAATTTGAGGACATGGAGATGGAACTTTTGTTTTTACAGAAAATTAATAATAATTTGGGGACAAATATTTTTATAAACCATTGTTATTAATTGTTATTTTAAAGCTGGTACTTCGTAAAACATCATTAACTCATCTTTAATAAACAATTATAAATTTCTAAGGTATCATGTCGAGTAAAATATGCAAGTAGGTACTTATAATGCAAAATAAATTTTCAGAATAAAATCTTACAACTTCTTATCTAATAAGTGTAATAAGGACGATAGGACCAACAAAGTAATAACACTAGAAAAACGTCCGAGTCATCTATTTAAATCATCCATTTGTAAGAGTTCCCTTAATGCGATTATGTAAGTTTGGGCCATCTGTAGCGTTTCAAATTTACTTAATTTGTGGTCCGCGTCCAGACTAGGAATGACTTGACGTAAGCGATCAAAGGCCTCGTTAAGGCCATTCATTCTCCTTCTTTCTCTAGCGTTGGCCGCTAGACGACGCTTACGGACGACCGACGGAGACGGAGGACGATCTCTAACGGGTCCTTTTCGTTTTCCGCGGTTTGTCCTGCGGCTTCCGATTTGTCGATTGTTGTTGTTGTTTGTCGACGTGTCGTCACTTAGATTGTTATTGTCCACGTCTCTTATGACCGTCGGTTTTAAACACAAGTCATCGAAACTGTGACACGTGTTGTATTGATCTGGTTCGCTTAAGGAACACAAATCGTTCGAACTTTCGTAAAAGCTGAGGCCAAACGACTGCACATTATCGGGAGCAAAAGTCCTGGAAGATATCGGATTCTGCAACAAACAAAAAAGTTAAACAATTGAATGTTTGATGAATCGATCACTTTAGATCTCATCAGCACGACGTAGACAGAATACCGACCAATTTACTTGCTGAGTGAATTTGCTACTAATTGTGACTTAATTAATGCCTGAAAGTCATTTTACAACTAAGGGTATCGACTTCTCAAGCTGAAATCATTTTTGAGTGTTTATTTTAATTAAAAAATTTAAAATCATTGTCAGATAAATCAAACTATTTCAAAGTAAAAATTTTCAGTATCGTATAATATTGATTTTACTTCGGAGCACTATGGCGTCAGTTGATGACGTTATTCAGTATTTATGGCTAGTATGCTAGGGCGAATTTAGAAACAAACGCAAAGCTTTACTATTTAAGTTTACAATTAAAAATTAAGAAAAACCATAATTAAAATTATGTATAATCAATAATTAAGTGTACGAAAACAGAGTTTTAATTACTTTACATTAGTTTAGTGCGAATAGTAGGAATCCGAACCGAATCAAACAGAATATTAGTAATCGATTATAATTTCAAATGGAATATTCGTTTTTCGGAATAATTCTCATTTCGGAATTTTAAATTTTTTTTTTTTTGGAACGGATTTCCAGTAATTTTTCATAATTATCAACGATGTTGAAGAAAAAATAAAACTATAAAAGAGTCAAAAGAATAATTCAAACAAAAAGACTATTACTTCGATATTTTTGAATTATTTCGAATAATTTGCATAGCCCTAGTTTACATATTTAATTAATTATTTATTTATCTGTAAATCTTACCGATGTAATGTCAAGTTTCTGAGTTAGTGGACAATACCAATTCAATCTGGTTCCGTTTTGGCCTTCAGCTACGTCATAGGGACTAGATAAGGAACTTTGTGAAATAATTCCTGATTCTTGGAGAACTCCAAAGTTTCCGAAGTATTGCTTGGCTACATTCATATTGGTTCATATTTAGGTGCATGAAACATATCTGAAAGTAAAGAATTTTAAATTATGTAGTTAGTACCCGTCGATTGATTAAAATTATACAAATAAATAACAATCAAAATTTTGTTAACAATTTTTATTTGAAGACTCCACATAATACTAGTAATTCCGAAATAAATGTCAAGCTTTAAATAGAATTGGTTGGACTTTTTTTTTGTTTTATTTTGTACAATTTACCAAATTTTACTGGTTTTAACTC